GTGTGCAAACATTGTATGTTAAGGCACAGCCTTTTACAGATCCTGGACTACAGATGTGGCAAAACATTTTAGCATTCACTATTCACAGTCTGCTGTAAAATTGTCCTCACATTCATTGTTTTGGTTATTTCACATGATTTGATTTATTCGAGCCATAATCTATTTAATAAAATAGGTTGAGTTAGTCAAGCTTTGAACATTTGGTGGAGGAATGAACACTTCTTTTTCCCCTCCCACATGGAACTCTTAATGACTAAAGTAAGAAGAAAAGTGATCAGCCGCAGCGCGCTGTTGGGATTTTATGTGACAGACCAACTCAAAACTGGTGCATAAATGTGATATGGAAGGAAAATTATCCATGATTTTCAGCTTTTGATAGAAATACAAATGTTGCGTGGCATGTATTTATATTCAGGTCCTCTGATTCCATATTTTGCAGACTAGCAGACTGTAGTTGCTTGTCTTTAGAAGTATATATTGTGTTTTTGCTCGCTCTCCCATGTGAAATGATTCAAGCTCAGTCAGACTGAATACAGAGCGTCTGGACATCAGTTTTTATGTCTTGCTACAAATTTTCAATACGACTTGGATTTCAAGAATTTTGTAAGACTTGAATCATTTTGTAAAAGCACTGTTTAAGGTTGCTGATTGGCTGAAAGTTGAACCTTTGTCCCATTATCACACCTTTTCTGCCAAATGGGGTTCCCAGAAACATAAAACAAAAGATACAAAGACAAACTTTACACCTCATAAAAGACAGCTGATGTTGTTGGATTAAATATGAAAACATAACACAGCCTCAGAGAATAATAAGTACTGTGTCACCAAGCAACATCAATGGCTTTCCTTAAAGATGACATGTTTTTCTTCTATTTTGATATAACTATATATTTTAGACTTAGACGCACTAGTTAAAAGTTCAAAGACCATAGATTCCAATCTACTGTCTCTGAATTGAAAAGTAAGACCAAAAAGAAAACCACAAATCTACATCGGTTAGCGTAAAGCCCTGTTTACACAACAACGATCCAATGAAAATGTATATTAACTCGTTTAAATGACCATGTTTCAAGTACAATCTTTACTATGTAAACAACACAACAACAGCAAACGTGGAAATGGTGTAATTCCCTTGCCACGCCACTAGCTGGTGCTATATTTTTTGAAACTCAAACCTTTCTATCTGAAAACCGCTAAAAAAGGTCAAAATGGCAGAGAATAAAGTTTGTCTATGGACAGACAACGAAGTTCAACTATTGCTCAGAGTGACTTTGAATGTCTAAAACCACAAAATTTCAAGAATATGTTGACCGGGAATTATGTCTGTCAAAGTACACGAATATATATAAAGATTACTTGGAGCGGGAAAGGACGTGTGGTGCTAATTTTCTTTGAGCTGTGCGAGGAAACCAGCTACTTAGTGCCCTGAATTTGGCTGATTTTGACCCCATCACCGAGGAAACCACCCCTTTGAACTAACACAGTTCACTCCCCTTAAAATGTGCGTGCGTCATTTTGTAATTGTCCACATTCTCTCACAGTACATATTATCCTGTAACTATCCTTAAGTTTGCCATGGAAACGTGGATAGAGTTTGTGTCTTGTGCTAACTTGTTGCCAAGGAAGTTGTTAAAGTGAACTTTAAGACTCAGGTGTTTGGTGACAACCTTATTCCAAATGTCACAAGCGGAGATAAGGTGTTGATGGATTTATAGCACTATTAAATTGATCCATAACAATGGTTTATTTAAAGCTTATTTGTACTGGCATTGTTACAATAAGATGCAGAAAGTTGCATTGTTTCTGCCGTTGTCTCACTAGGCAACGCGTTAAACTCTTGCCAGTTCTCAGATTTTAAATGTCTGAACCAACCACCATTAACGACACAATTACCGACAAGGTCTTGGAAACATTATATATTTGGCCAGTTTTGTGAGGAGAACAACAAAAGCTCACAATAATAAGATAACAACATGTTTAGAAAGCGTTAAAAATCTTTTGTCTAAATACAGTACCAGTAAAAACATTGTGCTTAATCGTACTCATACAGAACAAATGGGTTTCTCTTGAAGGATTAAAGAAAAACAAAAATTTTTCCTTAGAAGAAAGTTTTTATCTGTTATTGTCAAACTTGTCAACAGAAACCTTTGTTCAAATGTCTAAAAAGTCCTAAATCTTGACAAACAGACTAGTTTTAAAGAAACGCAGTCTGAACTGTGAAATATTGCTTTGCCTCTTAGAAACCACAGGGTGAAGAAACAAACATGCTTCATTACGCATATCTTTGAGGAATTTGATAATGACTGATTCATATCGTTGTCAATCGTGTTGCTTCGGCTGCATGACTGAAACAAGACCTTGTGCTTTTCTCCCTGCTCTTGAGCTATTTTCACTGCAGACATGAGACGTTTTGATTACGTTTTTCCAGACATAATTGGTCTAGTCATTATAGAACTTACAGAAACGTATTTCCAATACCTTGTCTTGTTTCTAGCTACAAACCCCTTACTAAAAACATTGTGGCTCATTTATTGTACCTTTGAAATGATCCCAATTCCAACATTCTAATGTTCCTTCTTGTGTTAATGACTGTCCGTAATAGAAAACTAAGCGATAACTATCATTGAGTTGTTAAATCAATGCTACGATCAGGTTGCACCCTCAGGGACCACCTTCCAGTAATTTCTACAAACATTATTGGACTAGGCTTTTACGTTTTTGCACCTAATTAGAGCCGTACTCTTCAATGTGAATCAAAAGCTGACGTCGTCGGAACCCTGTACTGCAAAAATACAAAAATGTACCAAGTAATTTTGGTCTAGTTTCTAGTGCAAATGTCTTCATGCACTTCAAATAAGACAAAACTAACTAATAAGAAACTTTTAGCAAGATTTCAGAGCTTGTTTTAAGTAAAAAAAAAAAAAAAAACTTAACATTGATAAAAAGGAAATTCTAGTTCCACTAGCAGATTTTCTTACACTTATGGGAAAAAATATTTTGCTCTAAGTGCAATAATCTGCCAATGGAATGAGTACTTTGTGTTCCACTGCAACCTTCTGTATCTTATTGTAACAATACCAGTACAAATACATTTTAAACAAACTTTTGTTATGGATTAGTTTAAAAGTACTATAAATCCATCTCCACTTGTAACAGTTGGCATAAGGTGGTCGCCATCAATATCTGCACTAGAAATTAGACCAAAATCACTTGGTAAGATTTTTTTTGCAGTAAAAGCATCATGAGCTCACATAGTTGTCAGCATGATTAATTGTAGCATTACCCAGTTTGACAAATCAACTTTTCCCCTGATTGATAGAGCGCCGTATTAATCAACACTAATGTGTTTTGTTGAGATTTAATATAGCAAATTAACACATAATTGAGAACTGGAAGGAAAATAATGCATGAGTAACGCCAGCTTCCACTGATAGAGGAGGGTGGATCAATACAAAAATATTGATGATATCGTTGCCAAGTCTACCACTAATACCAAACCTTTTGGACTTTTGAAGCTCATAAATGTCCTGCTAGAAAATCTCAGACCAATCTCAGTTTTTTGGCAGAAATTTACTCTTCCTTTATTTTCTGTTATAATGGCTCTAATACGCCATAATCTTTAACAGCAAAACGAAGAGTCTCACTGGCTGAGCATGTGAGACTTTAATTTGGTCTTAAAATGAGCTGATTGTGCTTCTGTGTTACAATTTAATACACAGGATTGAACACATGCCTGTGTTTACTATGAAATTACCTGAAGGTAAGTAACCACATAAACTCTTTTGGTCTGTGAACTCTAAGATGTGGGATTTAATCCTAACAATGTAAACAAGGTGAGAAAAGGAATCTTCCAGCGTGCTTCTGAAGGGAATCCCCTCAGTGCTTGTCTGTCTTCTGCTGCAGAACTCTGTGTAACTTTGTGGTTTCGAATTCACAGTTTTTATGCCCTGGATTGAGCTGGTGGCTGAGAACATCACAGCAGATGATTCACACTATTTTTATTCTCATAAGTTCTCTAAATAAACCCTCATGTGTTACTTCCAGCCAGGCTTGAATCAAACCTCCAAACAAAGAAATAAATATTTCAATCATAACTCCAAATGCAGTTATGTTAGATAAATTAATAATTATATGTCCTGATGAGTGTCATTTGTCAGATTAAAAGTAACGTTTGAAATGAACCTTTACGCAGGCAGGTATTAAAGGTCCTGTGTGTCATTATGTGAAGTCCAGCAGCTGACATCAGCACAGTAGTTCAGCACAAAAAACTTTTTTTTAAATGTGATTTTTTTTTTTAGCATATATATTTGAGAGGATAGAGAAGAATTCTCTCAACATGCAAAAAATATAAAAAAAAATCCCAGTGATCTTTCTAGTCTTTATGTGGACCCTTGTCAGTTATCGTTCATTAGACTAAGTATTGTTCAGGATAGTACCTAACCTTTACTTTAAAATAAAAACTCAATCCCACTAAAAAATGTTCAACTGTTAAATGGTGTCATGTCACAAAGAGACAGCTAGTCAGATGGCACAATTAGCTAATTTTAACAAATTAATATTAACTGAAAAAAAAATGTTAATACCCAGGAGATAGAAAACTACCGAATTTTTCAATTTTTCTCAACCAAACCACGGCCATGTTTTCTACAGAATTTACACTGGCATCCAAAATGGCAGAACCGTCTTAAATTATTTCTCTCTTTTGGGTAAGCTAGCCTGTTAGCTAACACAGGTAATCTTACAGAGTCCTTTCAGTTTTTGTTTTATGTTCAAGTAGCTAAATTTTTTTAGGTAGGTAGTTCCTAACTCTTACTCTTTTTATTAAAAAAAAATTGTAACTCACATAAAATGATCAGGTGTTAAACGGGCTCACTGCCAACTGCCCCTGAAACGATGTTGTTCAAAATGGACAAACCTGCGAAGTCGCATTTGGGGAAACATAACACGAGTCACTTCGACCAACCATGAAAACTGTGAAATCAAAACAGATTCGGAAGGTAAGCTGTGAAAAGAAGAATAAAGACATTTATTATCCTCTTACATATGTTATCTAATCTTTGGCACTGTAACAATTTGAAATGGGTCTTATTATTATTTTAAATATAAAATTTCCAACTTTGGGATATATGGGCCTTTTATTCAAAGGATGAAACAAATGAAACCACAAGAAGCAAAACTTGACCGCTGGTCGACATCACGGCGAAGACACTGAAAAGATTTCTTGATGCACATCTTGCATTTTGGTTGTCTAGCAACCTCTGATTGTGTCGCTGGCGGGTCGGCGGGATGGGACAGGTCCCTGCTGATGGGTCACCTTACTACGGACTCGTTGCCAAAACGTTTATGGCAACCGTTGCTGCCACGTCCTGCTACTCACACTTCAGTGAAGGCACTTACGAAGTCTCGCTGTGAAGCACCTCTGCAGCCCCTAGCTTCGCATTATAGTCTTAAAGTCAGGTTTAAGCTTCGCTTCTTTTTTTCCTCATTTTCATTTTAAGGAATCTTCTGTCAATAAATAACACAAATATATTCATACATCATATAAAGATAGATAACCATGTATTCACTACATGCATTTCATATAATTTAAATAATTTATATGTACAGTTCTCCGTTGCGCAGTCCTCGCCCTCTCGAGTTGAGTTCTTTCGTTACAGCTTGCAGCACATTGGTTTGAAATCGCATTCAAATGGACCCGGGACTTCTTCAGATGTGTTGTTTGGAGCAGAACGTCGTGGTCCGCTACCACCGCACCTAATCCTGTGGTGCGGTTTGCTGTGGAAGTAAAATCCCAGAAAAAGAAAAGTGGAACTCCACTGGTTCTGGTTCTGAGAAACTGGAATTTTACGTCTTGCGTTTTCTCCTCGACAACGCGCAGACGCAGGAAGTGTTGATGCGTATCCACCTCCAGCCCACCATGCCGCTGTGGTCCTGCGTCAGCGCGCGAACAAACGTCTGCGTCGTCTTGCACTGAGAGCTCCAGTTTTTTTCGTCGATTCCCCTGCACTGCCTTTCTTTGGCTCTGGACGGCTGGTCTTCGCCCCGACAGTTCGTCTCGTAGAAAAACTGCTTGACCTCCCGCTTGTCGAAGGTTTTAACTTTGGCCATGACCGTCACGTTGATTCCTCGTAGATCCATGGCGCTGGTTTTGTCCATCACCCACTTGCTCTCGCTGTCGCAGACAGAATACTCCCCGCGGTAACTCCGGTGTTCGGCCTGCCGCTTCTTCCGTGTTTTGTTTCCCACCGCCGCTCCCTCCGGCCCGCCGCTCACGAAGTCGTCCGCCAGGTACAGGGGAGGCGGCTGGAGCGGCGGCCGGTCGCTCAGCACTACCCGCGGTGAAATGTATCTCTTGTGGTTCCGTAGAAGGTCAGAGTTCACCAGCGTCACCTGCTGCTCCACTGCGCCTTCGCTGCTCCCGCCGCTGCGGCCGCCCGCGCCCCACGGCTCGCCGTCTTCCTGGTCTTTGAACGGTAAGCTTGGCCCCGAAACAGGGAGGATGGGATTGTGGTGCTTGGCATCCCTGCCTCTCCCCTGCTGCCGGTGGCTCCCCGAGGTCCGCTCCCTCGTCAGGTCGGCCTGCAGCAGCTGGATTATGAGGGAGTTCAACGGGTCGGGGCTCGGCGGGTGCTGCTGCTGTCCCTTGTGGCTGCTGTTTATGCTAGATGCTTGAATACCATACAGGTACACAAGGGCCATCACATACAGCAGGATGGACATCACTAGATTCACCTGCAAAATCTGTGAAGACATAAAAAGAGAAGAGACATGAGGTTTGTACCCTTAATATGTCCAAATTGGATTTTCTTTCATTTACAGAGGTACAGTGCCTTGCAGGAGTGTTTGTATCATTTTACAGCTTTACAACTAGCCTGGCCATTGCCGTCCTGTGCTATTGGCTTGATTAAAATCACGCTTCGCAGACAGTCTTGGCTTTCTCCCATTCACTTGAATTCACCTGGTAGAATTTCTGCCGAGCCAATTGTTGAACAAAATCTAGTTATTGGTCTAGTTTCTGCTAGACGAGCAAAACTAATTTACAAGTAACTTTTAACCAAGAAATAGGAGGTTGTTTTAAGTTAATAATTACTTAATATTGATGAAAAGGAACTAGGTCTACTGGCAAATTATTTCACTTAAAACATTTATCCCATGTTGGTTGAATTGTCATATCATTGCATGTAATCAAAGTGAGAATCTTTCTTTCCAGTACAGAAATTTGCACTATTTTGTGTTCATCTTTTAAATACTACGAGAAAACATGGAGGGTATGATTACTTTTGTAAGACAGACCTTTTGAAGAAAATGCATCATTTATTTAGCAATGGGTCTGACTTCCTTATTTGACTGTTTTCCAATACGTAGTATTAAATCTAGATCATGAAAAATGGGGCCCAAGAACACCTCCTATGTCATCAAACCGACTTTGTGCGTTTTCATTTTCAAAGCGAGAGAATAACATGAAACGAAAGATTTGCGTGGCTTAATAATTCTTAACTTAAGAGGTGATTTCAGCTTCAAAAGCATTTAAAACGGCTGATTTTGAACACAAATCTAAAACACTCGCAGCACGAGGACGTGCCTTCGACTAAGCATACATGCTTGGGAATTAACATGCGGCGACTTGTGTGACATACCTCACTTCCACGAAATATCCTCAACTGAAAAACATTTTGCCCGCTAGCTCTCTAAAGGAGGTTGTTGACATTGTCTGTTCCAGCATCTTAACCAGTTTAAGTAGCCTCATCTGTCGCTGTTGGTTCCCACAGAACCATGCTTTCAATTCAGCACATTGTTCACAACGGGCAGAACCAGAACAATATACACTGCTTCAAGTCAAGTGTCTGTTTTTTTTTTTGTCTTTTGTTTTTTTGTTTATTCCTCTAAGTTAAAGTTTGAGCTGCTTTTGTCAGTTAAATCTTAGTTATCTTCAGCGACGTCGTCATGTAATTGTTCATTGTTTTTTTTTTGTTTGTTTTGCTTTCTTTTATTACTTAATCTCTATAGCTGGAAGGCTGTTTACATGCGTTCTGGTTCTGAGAAACTTGAATTTTACATTTTTGAATTCTAGGAAAGGTATTGGAAAAGACATGTCAGATTTTTTTTAATTAGGCCCGAGCAGCTAAGCGCTGCGAAGGCCTATTGTAATCGTGCTGTAAATGATTATTACTACTATTTCACAACCACTTTTAACCCTGGTTCAAAACGTAAAAAAAAAAAAAAAAAAAAATCGAATGAAACGGAACTGCATTAGCATCTGGAATCATGAGCTCTGAAGTTATTAATCTCCATTAAGACTGGCAAAAAGCTAAAACGAGTGGCGTCCAAGCTTTCTGCCTCAAGGGCCAGAAATGTAAATACATAAAACTTAAAACAAGCTAAATAAACCTCTTTCTTAAAAACAGGAATCTGTAAATAATGTAAAATTAAAAACAGAGTCTTTCATCTCTAGAAAAAAAAGACATTCTTCATTGTTGTTTTATTTGGTCGTGGTTAAGAAATGGTCCTGTCCAGGTTTTTTAGAAAAACATCCACTAATAAAAAACCTAGTTAACAAAAGATCAACACTATGTTCTGTTGACGTTTTCCATTTAAAAAAAATTGTAATTAGTTTGTATCTTTCGCTGTAATATTTTTATTCTGAAGTATACAAACCAAATTTATGCCACACCAAATCTTTTTAACCTGTGGGAGGAAAGGGGAGTACGTGAGAAAACCGGAGCAGGTAGGGGAACCTTTTTCACAGAAAGGCTTAGATGTGTCCCGTAAACACAGCTATGTATTGACTAAATTAATTCCTTAATATTGAACCATTCATTTGATTTAGGTGTGTTGGAAAGACCAACACCTGTAGTACACCAGGTCTTCAGGAACCCTGGTTCCCAAAACGGTCAACAGACATCTACCATGGAATTTGAACATTTTTTCATTCGAAATTTGGTCTTAAACTCTTAATGCTGCATTGTAGCAAAACATTGGACAGTTTTGTGCTTTAAACTCTTCAGGGACGGATTTAGCAGAAGGCCCCTTCCTGCTCCAGCGTGACTCTGTGCCAGAGCACAAAGCATGACACCTGAAGACACGGATGAGCATGTATGCTGTTGAAGAACCGACTGGCCTTCAAAGAATTCTGACGTCAAACCAACAAAGCATATTTGGAATGGATTAGAGCGGACACTGCAGACAAACGTCAGCGTTCGCCCCCAGAAATTGTTCACACGAGAGCTGAAGCTTCTATAGCCACGAATGGGATGTCACTCAACACTTTCAATGTCTAATCTTCAACCTCATTACAAATGTATGTCTACAACAAGGCTGCACATAGACTTAACATTAGCTGGTGTCTAAAACCATTGAAATCAAATTATTTGGTCAATGGGTTGCAATAGAAAAAGGCATGATAATTGCAGAGGCAGCCAAAATGTTGCCTTGTTCCAGTGTTTGCCACATTTCCTCATGAAAGTAACAAAGACATGATTTATATAATCATAAGAGGCAAACAGGAACAAGACTAATCACTTAAAGGCCTAGTTAACTGTCAGGAGGTCCCTCACATTTCACCATCAAGTGATTTCAGAAAGCCTTGTTTACAAGATAATAGCCGTGTACGCCACACTTAATTGGATAATTGTTCTGGGGAAAATGTATTTTTCATGTGATATTCAGATGGTACCGAGACCTGAAAATAGTCCCAGAACTGGGTGAATCCGGAACACAGGCCTTTGAAATGTCATCAACCGGCCTAACTACAGATGACGGATTAATTTACTGTGAACCATGATGCTGATTTGATTTGTAAGGAAGCACAGACCTTATTGAAGATTATTCCATGGCGTCTCTCCAGCTAAAGCACTGCTTTGATGAAAAGTAAATAGAGCAAAAGCTATATCCTGAGTTCAATGTGCCACAGCTGAAAAAGAGACGTTTTTATCTGACTTCTCTTGTTAGACGAGCCATAAAACGTCCCAAAAAAGGTCAGAAGTTTGTCACCGTGAAAAATAGCATACTTTTTTCCCTAATCAATAGTTTTCCAGTTTGACAGCTTAACCTGCCTGAGTTACGGTTCTCTGCAGCTCCATCAGTTAATACATTACACAGGTGGACTCTAAGTTTAGAGACTGAGCGTTCTGAAGGGACTTGTGTTTCTTAGGTTGACTCTTAGCAAAGGGCGGTGAAATGTTACGGTGGCCCAGAAGGGTCAGCAAAATGCAAAACCCACAACATCACGGTAAAAAGCCACAATGAAGTTATGCTAACATGAAATTCACTGTATGCTAAAGCAGATTTTTGGCCAAAATGGAAATTAAGCTAAAACAGAAGCTATGCTAAAATGAAAGCTAAACTAAAATAGAAGTTGTGCTAAAACAGATTTGATTTTAAAATGGTGAAATGATTTTATACTAAAACTAGAGCAAACTAAAACAGATTTTATATTAAAAATGTAAGTCATATTAAACAGAATTTAAAATGGAAGAGATCCTACAGAAAAAGTGATGATAAAGTATCAATTCTGTTTCAGCATGGCTGCTGTGGCTTTTGTTTCGCTGAGGCTCTATGGCCACCATAGAGTTCAAACCCTTATCTCACTTTTCATTGGCAAAGACAATTCAAAAACATGCAGAAGGTGAGATGAGAAACAACTTTGTGATTCTCCCTTCGGAGAGAAATAACAAAATACAACTAAATGTTGGCCTATCGCATTAAAATTCCTATGAAATATATTTAATCTTGTTAAATCATTTCACAGTGTGGACAGTTTTCTGCAGGGTGAGGAGAGGCAGCAGCTGAATGCTGGATTTTTACATTTACTTTCCTCTCACCAATCATTCCTTTGACACAAAACAATACATAAAATAGAATACAGCTGGAATAAATCATCAGTGCCGCTAGCTTGATCCACAAGGAAGGACATATAGCAACCAAACGCATTCAGCCATCTGCTTAGCAGCCTGTTTAAACACCATTTGTCTCCTGACAGAAGCAGCTTAGAAAGGTCCTGGCAGCAGAGACAAAGCAGAAAGGACCCGGCTTGTTCACTACAATGAGAGGCAAGGACCAGCTGCTCAGGTGGAACTGACTCAAAAAGCTTTTCTACATAAGATCTTATGAGTAGGACGTTTGACCTTTGCTTTTTTTTAAGTAGCAGATATAGTCTGAGACCCCTAAATATAATCCAGCCCAACATTCAGCTGGACTGACAGACAGGGAAAAAGAACATCAATGACAGGAACAGCAAAGAGGCTGAGAAAATACAGGAAAACTCCTGGAAGAAAGTCTGTTTACATATTGATGTCAATATGTAGAAATTTTTGAATGCATTTTTTCCCCTCACACCTCAAAAGGAACCACTACCTAGTGTTAGTCACAAACGTCTCATGGAACATCCTAACGTTTGTAGTTATATAGTGATGAAATCTGAAAAGATTCAAGCGATGTGACTGCATCTGCAACAAACTTTAAAGTCAAACTTTATGACTCAGAAACGTTTCATTTATTTGTTTGACATTCAGAAAGTAATAAGTTGGAGTCTTATAATCAACTCCAATATCAAAATCCAATATGACGACTGTTCATATCAAAGATAATGGAAATTACATTAACAACGTGTTTATTTGCTCTTCTGGTTCTGGTCTGAGTGCCAACAGACTGACTTTCACAGCTGCAGTGTTACAGCTTGAGGTCACTTGATATGTATAAATGCATGTACATCTAAATATAGAAGAAACTAAAAACTACTAATT